ACTCGGCTCCTTGCACTTGCAAGGCAGGCGGCAGAATCATTGAGCTAAATCCCTGGCCCCCTAAATTTTCTTATAAGTAAGCCATCTGCCTTACTATAATAAGTACGGGGCTGGGGATTTAGCTCAGTGGTTCCGGCATCTGCCTCACAAGCAGCAAGGGACCAAGTTTGATCCCCGGTACCAAAAAACATATATGAGTATGAAGAGAGAAGGGACCCTCCTGTTCTACTTATGGCTAAATCTTCAGCATTTAGAAAAGGACTTAACACAGAGGACATCTGAATCAAAGTTATGCCCCAGCTCTACTCTAGTCCAAATCCTCAGCTCTAGTATAGTTCAAAATTCACTTTTAGCCAGGCATGGTGGCACACACTTGTTATCCCAGCACTCGGGAGGCTGAGGCAGGAGGATCACTGCAAGTTCAAGACCAGCGTGGGCTACATAATGAGTTCCACGTCAGTCTCAACTACATAGTGAGACCCTGGCTCAAAAAACAAAAACAAAAAAAATTTTTTCATTTTTAATCCTGATATATGAATGAAATAAACTCCAAGAATAAAACGTTATGTCTCAAATGGAATCTAAGTTTCTAGAATTCCTCCTCCCTTGACTCATGTTATAGCTTAAATCTAGATGTCCCCTAAAAAGGCTCATATACTCCTAGATGGGGATTTTTGGGAAGTGGCTGGATCAAGGGTATGTGACACTGTATTATGCTGTGATAACTGGGTCAGTGCACACACTGGTTTAGCATAGTCCTGGTGTGTGGATAGTGGGAAGGCCCATCCTGGATGTGTAGCCTGAAGGGATTAAAGGAGGAAAGAAGGCTGTTTTGTTCCTTCTCACCCACCACACCATGGACTGTTTCTTCTCTGCCTTGGAGTCAGCTAATTATGGACTAACACCTCTACAAACTGTGAGCGAAAATAAACCTTGCTTTCTTTAAATTGTGGTATTTTGTCTTAGCAATAAGAAAGTAAGACAGCTCAACTTTATCTGTGGGATTCCCCCCACACACACTGTTCACTATTTCAATTCAAACTAAACACACACACACACACACACACGCATGCAGAGAGAGAGAGAAAGAAAAAGAGAACTGAGTGAATTGGGAATTGAACTCAGGACCTTGTGATTACAAAGCGAGCAGAAGAACCATCACTGACTAAATCCCTGGAACTGCCTTATATTTTAAAAAGCTCATCTATTCTCACAATCAAAAGTATCAATTTTTTAGAGAGGAATTATTTCTACTTAAAACCAACTGCACTGCTCCAGTCCCAAGCCTACATCTTAAAGAACAAGCTCATCACCTCCTCCTTCCCTTTGTCTGACAATAGTTATCAGCTGTTACACTCAGTTTCTCAATCAACTGTCATTTATTGATTTTTCGTTCACTCCCCATATTCCATGAAGTATTTGGCCCTGTTGTTTCTTTCAAAATATGTCTTGTACCTGCCACCAGCTCTCTATTTTCTCTTACTAATCCATCTAGAACACCATACAGAAAGAATATTGCTAAACTTGTCCGTGTTTTAAACCATCACTAATGGAATCTTAACTGCAATTCTTAAAAACCCATCCTGCAGTAATCAATACTTTTGTGGAGACTAAAAATACCTGAACTAGTAATGTAACACAAAGTCTGTACTTTCTAATGCAAGTTTATACTCATGAAATCAGAGCTGGCAGAAAAGGAAACAAAGATGTATCTTGTTGAGCTACTAGCCCCCAAAGCTTCAAACCACTGCTCTACATATTCCATTGTGAACATTTCATCAGAACAATTCATTAAAGTAGCTTCATTACATTCAATAGTACTGGTGCTACCTGTATAATGTGGAACTATTTTTTAACTATTGCAACTTACTCAGGGCACATAGCTTATTTTTTTAAATTTACAGATAAAAATTCTCAGAACTCAGTGTTTTCCTTATTTAACAGCAGTTTCTCTACAAAACTGAAGATACAGTACTCGCTATTAACAGATCTCAAACATAAACAGAAAAGCTGCAACATAATTTTGCTGTTCATTGCTTTTTTATTTTGGTACAGGGAACTATCCAATGCACTGCCAATAAACTGCTACTTTTCTTAATCAAAAAGAGTATAAATTGCTGTGACTTGACTCACTCATTGAGAATGGAATACACTGTCAATCTCCTTTTCAAAAAGGGCTAACAGACTGCCTGCCCCTATCCGTAACTGCTGCTGAATACTACTTCGTGAAATCTGAAGTTGAGAATATTCATCAGTAGAGCCTGTCCAATCCCTTGAAATATATAATCATATGTGAAGCACTTAATTTATTAGCACTAATCCTCAGAGCTTAGCCTTGTTTCCGTAACAAAAGTTTTTAAAATTTAAGACTTAAATGGTTCCTATTACCAAATAAGACATGCTTAAATCAGTTTTATTACTGATGAGCTGTGCCACTTTATCACAACCTACTCAGGCCTCATCTTCTCATCCCTAAGACAAAACAATTGAAACATATAATATCGAATGTCTATTAAGTCTACAGTTCTCAAGACTCCATGACTGCATGATGAGAAGACTTCTGATCTCTTTACCACCATCTTATCCTCCCTAATTAGCCTTCACACTACCATCAATAAATTTTCCCAAACTACTACCGTATTAGCTTCATAATACTGTTACAACAGATTACCACGAAGTTAATGGCTTAAAATGCGCACAAATTTATTTTTGCACAATTCTGGATTTCAGAAGTCTACAATGACATTATACACCAAAATCAAGGTATCAGCAAGAATATGTTCCTTCCAGAGGCTCTGGAGAGAGAAAGTGTTCATTTGCTTTTTCCAGCTTCTAAGGGGCTATAATCCTTGGCTCAGGGGCCCTTCCTCTACTTTCAAAGCCAGCAGTGTGGCATCTTCAAATCCAATACTGACCCTTTACTCTCTTTATACCTTCTCTTTCTTATAAGGACCCCTGTGATTACAATGGAATTATGGGATTATAATTCAGGATAATCTAAACCCATAGTCTTCTCACTGAACTACATCCCTCAGCCCTTCTTTGAAACAGGGTATCAGTGAATTGTTAAGTTTCCCAGGGCTGGGTTAAACTTAAGTTTCATGCCTCAGCCTCTCAGAATGCTGGGATTACAGTCAGGAAGCACCATTCCTGGCTGAATTAATTGCACTCTTTAAAGAGAAAATTCATGATATACAAGGGGTAACTGGAAATCATGGTGAATGTTTAATTTTAAAAAATTATTATGGAACACACTGCCACTAACTCCCTTAAAAATATTCACCCTCACTTCAAAAATATTCCATCATTCTCTTCACTTTCTGAAGAGGTTCTGGAAGTCTGCTTGTGACTGTCTTTGCAAGACAGGATCACAAAAAACTGTTGAATGACATCCAATGAAAAGGCAAGCTTATAAAAACATGGTGTCTGTCCTTATCCACCTTATTTATTGCACCACGCAACTTCTTCCCCAATGAAAATGACCAAGAAAACAAATGCTTTCAACTGATTTAGACATCAAGGCAGCCACAACTAAAACTCACAAAACAGGAATTCCAGAACTGCTTCAGAAAGTGGCAAGAACAATAGGATAACTGTATTCCAAATGAGGGGGAGAATTCTGAGGGGAATTAATGGCAAGGTGTCTTATACTGTAATAAAATTTTTAAAATTCAGATGTACCATATTATCATACTTTGTATGAATTATATGTCAATAAAGGTTTTGGAAAAAATCTAAGGTGCTCAATTCACACACAAGCCTACTAGTGAACACAAATCATATCCAAGTAGTCTGGACAGCAAATAAGAACATAAATTACCTTCTAAGAACATACGTTTTTCTTTGTAGATTACATATAATAAAAATCAACCATGCTGAAGAATTCTACGTATGTCCCATATTGAAAAGATAAATTATTAACACAGCATAGTTAAAAATAAATACATATTATAAAACAAACAGCAGCTTTAACTATCAACTGCCCACCTGAGGTCACAAAGCAACATCTCCACCCCTTTGTTTTCTTTCTGAACAGAGCATCAATCATCATAAGCTTATCATCTCCCATGATTTCCAACACAACTCCATCTGGGCAGTTTCCACGGCCCATTGCCCATTCCCTTACCACTCATCCGACACCATGCTTTCTGTCTCCCATTACCCCACCGTCTGCCTTTCTGTAGGGAGCTTTCAACCAACTAAACAGTCCTTATTCTTTAGAGCCCGATTCCAATTCTATAACAGAGAAATTCCACATCCTCTCCATATCATGGCAACTGAACATTGACCAGCCTCTCAGACTCTAACTAGCTCTCACTACTAGGTACTTTTCTCCACCTCAATGCAACCAGTTCATTTTTTCAACAGTAAAATAAGCAATCCCCTAGAGTTTACCTTTGTCCAGCCCTGACTTGCTCATTTATCTACTTCATCTTATCACTTCCTCCCTTCAGGGAGTCACATCAGTTTTACCCATAGTCCTCAGGGAAACAGCACTCTTGTCAATGACAGAGTGCCACCTAGTTGAATATGGAGTAACTCACAATGGCAGAGGAGACCTCCAACTCTACTTTTACAGAATGTACTGCAGGTTGGGGCCAGGGATTTAGCTCAGTGGTGCCACGCAAGGTCCTGAGTTTGATCCCTGGTACTGTGAAGAAAGACAAGAAAGGCAGGGTGGGGGAAGATGTACTGCAGGTAAAAGAAAGAAGCCACAGAACTATTTGCATGGCAACTTGTTTCAAATATACATCTTTGTTGCCCTGACTAGATTAGCTTGCAAGTTTTACAGGTATTATTCCTTCTCAGCTCAGTTCCATACATATATTAATCAATTAATATGATTAAATCAAAATCATTATTAGTGTATTACACTACGAATAGTGTGAATAAATTCCTTAATCATCTCTTTCACATGACAGTGTGATTTTATTACAACAAACACAGATAAGTACAAAATAAAAAGAAATTGTTATTTATTGTTATTATTATTTACTCACGTATAATGGAGCTTGTTGTGGATTAAGTTTCATGACCCAAGACACTGAAATATAAACAGAAGAAACAAATGAGAATAAAATAAAAATCATCACCAAGATACAAAAAGCCATCTAAACTCCTTGAATACAAGCATAGTTCAGTGAATACAATCCAAAGTCTATACTGCTGTATATAAAGCTTTCCCTAGAGGTCTAGGAAGTAAGGAAGCTTATAGACTGCAGAATTCCTTTGTATTTCAGACTCAATGTTTTCAAATATGAAAGATTCTGACTGAAAACTAGACAAGCTGGGCATAGTAATACATGCCTGTAATCCCAGCATTTGGAAGGCTGAGGCAGGAGGATTGCTATAAAATTGAGCTTACTTGAGGTCAGCCTGAGCTGTAGAGGGAGATCCCCTTAAAAAAAAAGAAAGAAAGAAAGAAAGAGAAAACAAACAAATACGGCTTCACTGTCACATAAAAAATTTTTAAAAACCAACAGTATGTTTAAAGCAGTTACTAAGACAGTACCATTGCATGTTCAGTTGTACTTTCATATAATTCCCCAAACTCACAAAATGCTGCTTACCCACAAACTTCCCAATTCCACTAGGAGATTGCTGGAAGAACACTGGCTTAAGTCCACTATAACCTTCTTGCTCACTGCCCGTCTGAGAGAAGAGTAGCTACAACTAGTCTCTGACCCTAGAAAGCCATTACCCCACCCCCAGAATTAAGAGCTAAATTCTCCATTACTGTCACTAAACAAATTCTCATAAAATCTTATGAGCAACTTTAGAGAAAATTTCCAGGTTTGTATAAAACATTCCTGAATATTAAGAATAGCATGTTCTTAAAGTTTAACTTAGTGATTTCACTAGGATATCAGAATGGCAGGTCCTTTGCTGAACACCCTGAATTTGAATATAAGCTGATCTCATCCTCATTAGAATCAGAGACACAGACCCAAGTGAAGTAGAGAAATGTTATGCACACAAGAAAAAACTAGTGATACTCTAGATCTTGCGTTTTACCATATCACAAAAACCTCACTAACAATGACTAAAATTCAACCAGCACAAATTGAAAGTTATCAATGGTCAAATGCTTAGAATGAAGAACAGGGCCTTAGTAGCCAGACGTGGTGGCCCACACCTGTAATCTCAGCACTCACAAGGCTGAGACAGGAGGATTGCTGTGAGTTCGAGACCAGCCTGAACTACATAGTGAGTTCCAGGTCACTCTCAACTACACAGTGAGACCCTCTCTCCAAAAAAAAAAAAGAATAGGGCCTTAGTGTTCATGCATAATTTAAATATCATATAGTCCTCTTGACATTAACATGGGGGTTGAGGAGTGTTGAGTCCCCTATAACCAGGTTCCTAAGCCCAATCATCTCCAGTCAGGTGCAGGCCATAGGCTGCAGTGTGTTCTGCAGACAAAGGCAGCACTGACAAGTGGGAACACCCTCAGTGCCCATTCTCTGATCCACCTCCCACAAAGTAACAGCCCCCTGGCTAACTCCTGCCTGCCTTAGATTAATGACTATATACACGTTTAGGTGTTAAAAAGCACCTAAGGAAAAAAAAAATCTACACTGAAAACCAAGCTTGAGAAACCAAGCTTGATAAATTTAGCAACAACCAACTCTTTCAGTAAAAAAATTTATGTATATTTCAAGCTCATCAGATTCAAATAAGATTAATGGGCTCAAGAACCTTCTTGATGTATTCAATATCAATTTAATTTAAGATTAACTCACTCTGCTCACTGGTCTTTTAATCAGCTTTTGTTCAGACTTGCCTGGAAGAACTCATAAGTTTATGAACCAATACAATATGCATCAACTAACTTAAGAAGTGTTCCTGCCATCAAACATAAAAGTAGTATCGGTGGAACTGATATAGAAATGAACACTTTGATAATCATAAGGTTTGGAGAGCTCTGTGGCAACAAATTATTGACTCACCAGCCATCTTATGTTTCACAATTCACTAACAAAAACAGGACAACTGTGTAAGGTCTGCAATATCAAACTATCTAAATAGCTCCCACTGAATTTGAGTAAGAAGTGGTGAAATTCAGATGTCTTTAAGGAAAGGCTGATAATATTTGAGTTGTTTGGAAGTATGAACTCATGTAAACCTGTTTAAAAGTCAGAACCACACTAGCTGTTCTGATACAAGGATTAAAGAGGGATGACAAAGTGTCTGTCCCCACACACTGGACAAAAGGCCAGGTTATTGCTACAGTAGCAACAGGAGTTACGAAAAAGAATGCATCTGTCAAAAGTAATCAAAGTAATGACTAGAATACTCTAGAAATGGAATGGTAAATTTAAAAAACTTTTAGATTTCTTCAATCTTGACATGGGAGAATAAGAAAGAGAATTAGCCTTCACAGAGTTTTGTATTTCATACTAATACTTATTCTTCTTATTATACTTATTTCCTCCATTTCACTAGTGGGGGAAAAAAAAGTCTGGCACAGATTAAATTATTTAACACCAAGGACAAAATAGGCAAGAAAAGCAAGATTCAAATTCTGTCTGACACCACTAATACATGTGCTTTTCCATTGAGAATTGAAAGTCTTCAATTTATCAATTTATTTTTGATCAAGCTTTCCTAAAAGGAAAGTTAATGAAATGCACCTTCTATCCAATGGTTTCAATGAAACATACTGAGAGAAAACCTTTTAATTTCTTCCTCACCCAGTAACTAATGAGTGATGTAGCTCAAATCCATCAAATCAACAAAGCTGCTCTCATGGAACAGTCAATACACAAAAAATAGATTGTAAAAGTTTGCTAACATTTGAGGTGTGTTGCCTCATTTGCTAACATTTGCTGGTCGTGCTACACAGATCTGTAATTCCAGCACTCAGGAGTCTGAGGCAGGAAAATCATCACAGGGCCAGCCTGGGCTACACAGAGAGTTGAAGGCCAACTTGTACTACTCAGTGAGACACTGTCTTGAAAAAGCCCCTTCCCCTAAAACAACTGAGGGATGCAAAGCAATAAGCAGAAGTATAGTAACTAAGTTTTTGCTCTTCTTGTATTTTCCACTTTATTTATAATACTGAAGCAAATTTCATAGTTTACTGTTATATAGAGTGACATATGTGCTGTATGTCCAAACAAGACTCACCCTATTCTGATGTAACTGTCTCAATTACATAAATTAACCTTCTCCCTATAGTGTTTCAGAGAAGCAAAGAATTATGGCCACAATTCTTTTTGCACTTTGATATAAACTACAAGGAGCCTTTTTCTCGGGAGGTACAGTGTAGACGCCATCATGAGAATGTGCCAGAGTTGACTGTGTGCAATTCTTACATCAATAAACAGTACCAAGCTTTAGAATTGTAAAAATTTATGCTGTCTGCAAAAGAAAAAAAACTCAATCACAATTACAGAACAACTGAGAAATAAATATAAAGTATTATAACTGTATGACAGACTTCGAAAAGGAAGTGGGCAAAAAACACTTATGCCAAACCATGAACCTAAAGCTAATTAATTCTAAACATTAAAAGCTATCCACCCCAAAATTACACCTCAGTCAAGACCAATATCCATGGCACTGGTCAGAAAACAGTTTGTAAAGGGCCAGGCAGCAAATATTTGAGGCTTTACAGGTCATATGACTCTGTTACAATATGTAAATTAATGGATATAGCTGTGTTCCTATAAAACCTTATTTTTTTTAAAAGAGGGAGCATGCTAGCTTCAGTCACTGGGTCACTGGTCAAAAACTAACAAAATACCTCTTCATAAACCAAAGAAGCAGTGTGTCCCCATTCAACAGTTTTACACATGTCTCAAAGATGCTGTCAGCTAAAAAATACATTTCAATATAAGAAAGTCACAGGATGCTACAATTTTCTCAGTAAGAAATTAAGTGAGATTCCAAATTCTCTAGAGATTAATGGTACAATCTTATAAACAAGTCACTTGTATGAATCTCCATGTCCTATACAGAACACAGAGAGTCCTGTCTATATTATGTAAAGTTGCTGTAAGATTAAAAGAATTAATCCAATATAGAACATGCACATAGCCAGGCATAGAGTAGAAACCACTGCTTTTTCCTCTTGCAATTTCTAGGTCTCAATGGAAAATAAATACATTAGTTTGAAAACCATAAATGGCCAAATAAAAGGCATTAGGAATCCAGACGATTTTCTGGCAACTTCTTAAAACATGCTGGTTGGTAAATTAAAATTCTAAAGTACCAACACAATAACCATAGAATAAAATTTATAGGTAGTAAATACTGAATTATTAAGTATACATATCTCTAGGAATACAAAAATGTCATCTTAGTTGTCTGTTTCTAAAGAACTACGCAAACAATGAAGAAATGTAACTTGTAAGCAGAAGAAAATGTTATGCACAATGTTTAAGATGCCTGCCATTCAGTATATCACAAATGAATTAGAAATGAGTAAAAATACTCTCTTAATTTGAAAAACTAAAAAAAACCAATTTACTAAAGATCTCTAGACAGTCTGTATCTGTTTGTGTTAACATAAGTTAAATTCACTATTCCAGAAAAGCCTTTAACAGGTGCTTCACCTATAATAAAAGCACATTAGAGGGGAGGCCACCTCACACAAGCCCAACATGATATCAAGTAGTTACACTATGAACTTTTAAGTACAGTACCTGTCAGCATGTGATCTCAGCTCATTTCCTAAGGACCAATTGTCCATGTCTACCAAACCTATCACTTCAATTGTATGGTTTTTCTCATTTGCAATACAGAAGCTTTCAAATCCACAGAAAAAAGATGTGCAAACCACTCTCCACATCTGCCCCCAAGTCTCAGTAGAGAGAGGACAGCTGTTTGGGACTCATCCAAGTGTAAATAAAGGATTTTTACCTTCAGAGTACTTCCACTGCAGAATATGCTTCAAATGAATTCCTCTGGCCAGGGAGCCTGCTAAGACTTGGTTACAAGTCTTACAAGTCTACAATTTTTGAAACCCACAAAAATTCACAGTGAGGGAAACATGGAAATGACAATGCATGCTCTGGATTCTTGTAAAAGAGTCAC